GAGGTGGAAAAAGTATCGCAGCTGCTTCTGTGCTTCGTCAATGGTATGGGTGCGGACAATGGGTCTTTGTGGATTTATTTTAATGGCATTCCTTATTCATCCTGGGGAAGCTGTTGACCTCCACGACAGCTCTCCGTAATGACTTCCGACGGAACTGTCTGGAGATTGCACAAGTAGCCTTTAATAATTTCCCCTGCTCGTTGCTGTAACTATCGAGCTTATTGGGATGATTTACAGTAGAAATTTAGGGTGGTTTGTTATGGGTAATTAATTGTAATTGGAAGGCTGACAACATGTAGGCTAGAATCCGTTTTTTTCCCACACAAAAAGCTCTTGGTTTGATCTGTTCTATGCTGTCGGTTGAGTCCTCTTGTCTGTGGCATCTAAAGACTGGTCTCAATTCCTATACTATATATTTTAGTTAATCAATCACTTAATTTCAGGAACTGTGACACATACTGGAAGTCTCCTATGCGTGCAGACCAGCTCTAGAGTTATTTCCTCGAATTGTTTGCCTTATTCTGCTCCACTCGATTCAAAGAATGACTGTCCAGGCTCTTTGGATTGATGATTTTCAAATACAGATGGGATCATAGCACCAAACCTTTGCTTATGCCTACCTCTAATAGTCTGGGCTTTACTCTAATGCTCCTACATCGAAGGATTATTAAACTAGTTAATCTGTTGTTTGGCTCTACTGCTTAAAGTCTAAGGCTATAATGAGCATTTTCTAAATAAAAGCTCCATTTTCCCAGCTGTAGCTTTATTTTAAGCCACATTATTGAACATAGCCTCCAAAGAAAGCCTATTAAAGTTAATAATACTTAAGCTGATAGATACTGGAATAGAGAAATGCCATTACATTACAGTGTAGAATAGCTTCTGAAGAGAGTTAAGGAGCTGATAATATTAGAATATAAGCATTTATCGTAAAGAGTGTGAAGACTGCTGCGAAGGCCTACTAATGATCGACAGGAAAGAGTGCAAAGAGTTGAGGTAAAATTGTAAGATATAGATATTCACTCGTATATATTAGTTACATACAAGTATTAGATCGTGCTTTTGCATTCGTCGCTATTGATACCTCCACTTTGTTCTTCAAATTATGAAACTTTTGTTCGGTTAATAGAAAGCCCTTACTTTTATTTTGAAATTACCATAGAAATAATTATTGAAAGAGCATGTAATAAAAAAATTCCCAAAGGTTCGTTTGAGCCATCACCCATTTGAATTAATTATAAATGGCAAACGAACTAATGCCATGAGTTGTTGCCAATAAATTATCCACTAAAGAGGAGACTTTTCGAATACGTTTCGGTGCGGTCGTTGGTTGATTTGATTCGCTTCTCTCCACATTTCGGTATTGCATTCGCAAACTAAAAACAATTTATTATATCGATGCGATGGAGCCAACAAATCATTGAACCAACACCCATGACACCCATGTCTGGCACCAATTTTGATAAGCTAATGCTCTAATTCTCTAATGCCACGACGATGCCAAAGTGCAATGCCACTCGGCAGACAATCGAGACGTGCAGCACAGCATTCCAATGCAGCTCCGCCGACAATATTAATGATGCACACAATTGTCAAAGGAAAAAGAACAAAAATGAAACTTTCACTGCATAAAACCGCTGGAAATGCGCACGACTGAGTCTCTTATATAGATGGGTTGGTCTGGGCTGGTCTGGTCTGGTCTGGTCTGCGCTGGGCTTCTCTCAGTTGGGTCTGATTTTGGTCTGTTCGTGGCCTCGCCTGCCCCAATTGACCCAATGGCAAACCACAGTGACACGCTTCGTTTGAACCAGAAAGCAGGCAGCAGGCAGCAGCATCAGCATCAGCATCAGCGACTACAACAATAACAACATACACTCAATTGAGACGCACTCTAATGGCAATAATTATGCGGCAACAAGCTCAAAAAGCTCGGAAAAACGCCCGAATAAAAGGAAAAAAAAATCACCATTAAAAAGACAAAAACGATGATTGAGTGTGTAAGTATGCGTGTGTTTGTGTGTGTAGATTTCAATAGAAGCCGCGGCAGTTGCTCCAAGAATGCGTGCAGCAGAGCTGCGAGGGAGCCCTGCTTTCACCACAAAGACGACTCTGGCGACGATAATGCACTTCAAGTGGCAGCTCATTGTGTCTGGCAGGCGAGGTCGGGCCACCTCCCTCCCCCTCCTCCGAAAAAAATCCCCAAACTAGACTAAGCTCCAATTATTTGTGTGGTCGAAGCTCAGTGGATAGTGAATGGGCGCTCAGTTGCATTGACGCTGCTGTAGGTGTGCTGGAAGGGAATGGGGGATTCGTTGCTGTTTGTTCCTTGCCTGTGTGATTTACTCGCATGCACTGCAAGAAAAATTGTAAGTATTCTATTGATGAAAACTTAAATATGAGTTACTCTTAGTCTGTTTTAAACTGTATACGTATACATACAACTACCTCCATGAGCTGTGTTTAATTTTGTATGGTAAGGGTACGGTCAGACTTGTAAATAATTTGCGCACAAATTTATGGTGAATTGCAAGAAGGCTTTGAAGAGTACATACTTGTACATCTTCATGAAAGCTCTATTTTAATACAAAATTGTTTTATGATTTAATTGAACTACTTTTACACTCATAACAAATTGTGAATTTCAACCAATTTGTGTGCAATTTATTTGCATGTCTGACCATACCTTAAGTATATGAAACGAATGCCTGAAGATTCGTTTTGTAATACATTGCTCGTGCATTTATTTGGTGTGGGATTTGTCAATATCTTCTAATAAATACTTTCAAACTATTTCAGTGTAATCCATTCTCTGTTTTAATGCGAATTCGGCGCGGTATTTGAAAAGTCCAATATAGTATATGACATAATCATAAAATAGAGTCATATAATACTTGACATAATTTTCATACATTGTGTTTGTATTATTGTTACAATTTTACAATCCATTTTAAAAGCTACAAAGCCTTAAATTTGAAAGGGGTTTCATAATTCCTTTCTATTGTGTTTGCCTTGGATATTCGAGTTTAAAATTAAATGGTTTTGCCCTTTAATTTCCATAGACATTTCCTTCAATCCACAAATTCAAATTTGAAACTTTTAATTAATTTTATTTTAATTGGTTTAATTGCATACTTAAAGAGCATTTTTAATTTAAAAATTTGGAAATAGAACTACGAGGTGCCTCAATTTTAAAACGCATATCTCGACATAATTCGGAATGGAGAGACTCTGCATTCTTTACGCGTTTTTTACCTCTAATTAAAAAACTGTTTCAGTCGGATATTTTTGCGATTTCTAAACTGAATAAACAAACCGGACTGCAGTCTCATAATTTGAGAGCACACTTCTCACAATTTTGGATTAGGAAATTCTTAAATCTCAATGAGCTTGGTCGGACATTTCAGAGGGGTTTATAAACTGAAAATCAACTTGCTCACCAAAATTTAGGAGGCTTTTCTTCTCCAAGTGTGTGGCAATTGCTTTAAAGTACCCAACACTGGAGGCGCTGATGCCGCTGATGCCGTTGGATCCGCTGTCGGCGGCAGTTGTTTGCAGGAAATGGCTTTTTGCTACTCTACTATTTTACACTACTGCTTGCCTTTAGAAGCAGCGACCCCGCGACCCCTGGCCCTTTTTTGTTATTTTCACTTTGTGCTCCATTTAGTTGTTGCCATTGTTGCTGTTGCTGTTGCTGTTACTTTTGCTGTTGCTGTTGCTGTTGCCATTGTTGTTGCGGTTTTGACTTATGTGTGCGCTTAATTGTTGTTAAGAAGTGAAAATCAACGGCAGCAGCAGCAGCAGCAAAAGCAACAGCAACAGCAACAAAAATAAGTCGAAAATAAATCCAACAAAGCCGCTGCAAGCAGCGACGTCGGCGTTGACGCCGACATCTGTCAAGCACTGCAGCAGCGGTTGGGGGCAGAGGGCGGGCAGCGGAAGCACGACTGTGCGGTCGATTAATGTGACTACCGTCTTGACTTAATTTCATTTTCGTTGCATGCATGCAGGCAGACGAACCGACGCAGCCAAACGACCGACCTATGCAGCAAGAGGCGCGCCCGCACACACACCCACCTACCCACCCACACACACACACACACACACACGCACACACAGCCTTGATTGTTTTGTGGGTGGCTGAGAATGCGAAGAGAAGCCGGAGCTGAGAGGCTCTGAGCCGCAATCAGTTGGCCGTTTTTTGCATATTTTCGTGCAGCTTAGGTTTTGGGGGCGAGCACAGTCTGATGAGCACAGTGGGTGCTGCTAATTGAAAAGTCACCGAGAAAAACGTGGATGCCTTCTAATTAACTTGCGATGCAGATAATAGTAATGTTGCAATATCTATAGAGGCACCATTAAGAACGTTAGCATTTATGAAAAGCTATCAATACTCCGTATTAGTTGGAGCACTAGCGAAGCAAAACCAATGTTGAATCGAATCATTAAGTGAAAAGACATAATATACTTAGTTACATAATGTTTTAGGCTTTTCTTTCCCTACCGTGATCAGCAAAACAAGACATACATCCTCTTTGAAATCTGCTCTTCTATCTTCCATCCACTTCCACTCAATCCAAGATTGTTTATCAGACTTTCCTTCATTTTTTCACTGTATTTTGATTGTGTAACTTAATCTTTGTGACAATACTTGTATAATTGAAAGTAAATTAAATAAATGTCGCAAGTATTTCAAAAATATTTACAAATATTCTTCATAACTTTAAGCTGAGTTGAAATAAAGGACAATTGGCCTTAACAGTGAAATATATCCGAATGAAATTTGATAACAAAATAAATTCCTTCTCATCCAGGACTTAATAATTGTAAGACAATTTCTAGCTGTTTAAGTGCAATTTAATCTTTGCTATCGTCCAAATGAAGCTACACTTTATCCCCGCATTACCTGGGGCGAATTATCTTAAGAAATACTATATTGATGGAAATGCTTAACTTTTACAGTCAGGCAAGGAGTGCCAATTGTAGGGAAAGTAGACACTTGATACACCAAAAATAAAAACAAATATATTAAAGAGTTTATACGAATTCGATACGCACTCGAAAGTTTAATAAGCCGACTTGATCATGGGCTTGCCTTCCAAGGCATTGAGGATATTGTTGGCAGCCAACATGCCCATTTCTGTAGTGGTCTTCCAGGACTGTGTTCCCAGATGGGGCAGTACAACTATAAGACAATATTATTGCCAGAATTACGCATTCTTACTTAGTAATTCGCTTACCGCAATTGGGCAGCTTTAGGAGTGGGTCGTCAGCCGGTAAGGGCTCCGGTGTGGTTACATCTAGGCCGGCAGCAAATATGCGTCCTGATTTAAGTGCATCATGCAGATCGCTTTGCTTTACGATACCTAGAAAGTATTTATTGCACGTTTTCTCTATATCAAATTTTTTTCTTAATAATTATGTCAACTCAAACTCACCTCCTCTGGCCACATTGACGAACACAGCGCTGCTTTTCATTTGCCCGAAAGCCTGCGAGTTAAATTTCTCGCGTGTCTCCTCCGTGAGCGGACTGGCCACGACTACGAAGTCGCTCTCCTTTAGCAACCGTTCGAAAGGCACATGCTCGGCCTTATAGTCCGCCTCATTGGGCTTGCGAGTGCGGGTGGTGTAGAGTATTTTGGCCACATCCCAGCTCTGCAAGCGCTTGGCGATTGCCTGGCCTATGCCGCCAAATCCAAAGAAACCCACCACGGAGTCGCGAATTTCCTGACCCATCAACCAGTCGACTTCCTCAATGCGCCACTGCGATCTTTAGGTGCGAGTGCAGATTGGAGAACTAAATACTGAGGCACTCTAATTTTTCGCTCACCTGCCGATCTTACAACGTCCGTCGTGAAAATTGCGACCGGCTGCAATCATCAAACCAATTGCCAGTTCGGCTACGGAATTGCGCACCACGTCTGGCGTGTGTCCCAGCGGTATGTTACGGCGTTTGAACTCCGGCACATCCACATAGTCTATGCCCGCGGACATGGTGCTAACTGCTCGCAATTGACAGCCGGCTGCATCCAAAATTTCTGCATTCAGCGGCTGATATCGTGCCCAAAATATGGCATCCACGCCGGCCACCTTGCTGATAATCTCGGAGCGCGACGGCGGCACACATTCACAAAAGATCAGCTCTCCGCCTCGTGAGCGCAACAGATCCAATGCCGGCGCCGGCACATTCGGGTGTGAGATGAGAACTTTAAACGCTTGGCGGGCAGCGGAGCAGCTGGACATGCCGAACTGGACGACAAAGCAAAAGCCTGTAAGTCCTTATGAAAATACACAAAATTTGGGCTCTAATTTGTAGTGACAAACACACATTGTTTTAAATGTTTATTCAGATTCAAAAAAGCAATATTGAAGAATATATATATTTTGGTCCTCGTTTGACTCCATGACTAAGAAAGAAGCAGATAAACTCTTTCCAAATGGTGCTAAGATTGAAATTCCTGTACAATAAGCTGTTCCGAACATTCTCCAATCTTGGTTTTAGGCTTCATGTATGCCATATCGACAGGTCGAAATTTTAAGTCAAATACACAAATGTTGCTCTTTTAAAACTTAACAATTATATGCATACAAGTATAACCCTGAAATTTCCAGTTCATTCATTCTTGATTAACACGCATCTACCAATTTAGTTTCTAAAAATTAATTTAGAGATAAACCTAAAAATCCGCTCTTCAGATATTAATTTCTTCACTTTTTCCTCTTAAATAACTCACCACTTCTAATTCAATTTATGCCTTCTCATAACTAAGCTCTGAATCGTCATATTGTAAGCTCCGCATTAGCCCACTGTGCATCGGTTTCTATTATCAACGCCTAACGTATACGCAAAATTCATAGGCAAAAAAAGAAGAGAAAAAACGAAGCGTTTGAAAGAGAGAGTAAGGATTGGGAACGCGCATAAAATTCACAACAACACACTTCGCTATCGTCGCCCGTCAGACGGGTTGTTATGCACCGCTTAGTCACAGCTGTGGCGCTGACAGGCGCGCCTCCCTCAAATCTCTCATCACCCAAACTCTCCCACCAACTCTCCCACTCTCTTCACCCACATGCTCTCCCACTAACAACAGCAATGACGGTGACGATGACGATGACGATGACTACGGCAAATGCATGCACATGCTCCCCTGTTGTACTGCGGAGGGGTCCGAAGCCTGCTATTTCGCAACGCCTACGTAGCTGATTTAAGGAGGGGGTATTCCTACGTCAATCGTTCGCTTCAATATACGGGCTGTGGGGTTCACTCTCACCAGACTCGAACTTACGGCAACAATGGCCGGTGCCCGATAATCTTGCCAGTCAGGTAGATGGTAGGTGGTTAACGGATTGTTTGTGTGCCTTTCGCGTAACGCTTTGTCGGTGCTGGTGTTGGGTACTTATGTTTGGTTAATCCATTCTAAATGCTTTCGATTAGCTGGATTTGAAAATTGAACGTAGTTTTCGAATATAATCCATTTAGTTACTTTAGTTATTTCACATGCGTTCGTCAATTTCGCCACAAAGCTTTATTTAGAAACATTTTGTGAACAGAAAATCATTCACTAAGAAAAGCAAATTAAAAGATTGTTTGTTAAATGCCTAAAAAGATCGATTTTGAAAAAGAAGACGAAAGAAAATAGAATCGAAGCCAGCAATTGTTTTTGTTGTTTATTTTTTTTTTTTTGGCACCCGCCATTGATTTATTGGTTGCTTGTTTTTATTGAACGCCAGCAACGGCTGAACTACAGGGTCATGACTTCAAAGCGTAGGCAACTCCGGACACAATGCAGCGCCAAACGAGCTTCCATACACACACGCACATATGTGTGTATATGTAGGAGGCAGAGGCAGAGGCAAAAGCAGAAGCTGAAACAGCGGCGCATATTTCTTAATCTTTAGCTTGCCTGCCTGACTGGCTTCTTTCTTCCACAATGTGCGGCACAGCATATCCATCATGGACGACGTTAACGTCGGCCTCGCAGTCGACATCGACGTCGACGTCGACTGCTGTTAGTCCCTCATTCGTGTGCATGCCACGCGCCGCTGCGTTGAACTGCAACCCGTACCCATGCTCCATGCCCCGTGCTCCGTGCTCTCTCCCCCCTCCTTTGCTATTCTGCTTTATACACACAACTCTATTTGGCATCTTTGCCGTTTCTTTTGTTGCACGTACTTGTTGTTGTTGTTGTTGCTGCTGCTGCTCTGCTGCCGCTGAGCTCCACTTGATCTTTGACCCAATTTTTATTGCATTGTTTGACTGGGAATGAAAAATCTCCACTGCAGCAGCAACGGCAGCAGGAACGACATCGATAGCGACGCCAACGACTCGCGCGCATTTCGAGTTTAATTTTCTGCTCCACTCGCTGCATGCACCCCCCCCCCCCTCTCCCGCTCCCTACCAACCCCGTTCAACTTCAGGCCATGGTCTGCACCAATGGGTCTCGCCTCGTCGTCGCTTCAATTTGATTTGATTTAATCCCGAAAACAAAAAAAGGAGCGAAAAATATCAACGCTGCAATTTCTGCTCACCAGTTTATTTACATTCGACCCCCATGCCAGGCCAGAAAGAGGGGGGGTTGTGGTGGGGGCTGCTGTAGTGATGCATAGCTGCGTTTGCCATTTTAGTTGACAATGCAAATGGCGTGCCAACTGTGTCTGTGTTATGTGTGTGTGTGTGTATGTGTGTGTGTGTGTGTGTTTGTTGTTATTGTTGTTGACACTCGCAGGCTGCCTTTAATTAAGCGCATTAATGTCATCACAAACTTGTGAAGCTGAACATTTCACATTGAACGCGATCCAAAGTTCTCTGTCCATAACTTTAAGCGCTTTGTTGATCTTCAGTTTTAAGCGCAGTTTGTTTTCCGTTGCTGCTGTTCTGCTTTTTCTCTGTCTGCTGCTGTTTCTGCCGCCGGTCCATCGGCGCTCGCATTCAAATGCAAATTTACGCCAATTGGCGCTGCCGCACAAGAATGACAGCTTGGTGCGGTCTCCACACTGAGAAAATAATAGTCCTAATTAAGCTTGATTAAGCATTCACTAGACTATTAATTATGTGGCAATAGGTTTTATAAATAACAATTTCATTTTCAATTTGAGGAATAGTGTGGATACCTTAAGTTAATAAAGGTTTTGTTTTTACAATTTTGTATATTGAAAAGTATCTAAAATTTTTGTTTTTCACAATTTTAGTTATACTTCCAGATCTAAAAGTGTAAAACTTTTAATCAACTCTGAATCTAAATTGTAATCCTATTTTTCTATACACATACAATTATTTTAATAATGTTTCAAAAGCATTCTTAGTGGTAGGTCCTTTGTATCAGACACCATAATTTAACTATATTATCCCTATAGAAATAGCTTCGATGTAGATATCAATCAAAGAAACATATATGTATAAATATACTTACGTAGTAGAAGTTTTCTGATCGCAGTAATAAGTGTTTAGAGTGTTATTCCGATTACTTTATCATCTAATAATCGAAATGGAAATAAGTGAGTGTAATTAGTATTATTTTGGATATATGTACATATTGTAAATTAGCTGCATAAAAATAGTTTATTCGTTATTTCATATTCGTTATTTCATATGACCGCAAATCGGGATACTCTCCCATTTTTTTAGGTGCAGCTTTTTTACACGCACTACCTCGCTCTCCCGCTCTCACGCATGTTGTCTGGCATTGACAGCTCTTTTTCTGCCATAGGCACTGATTGTTAATGTTGTTGCTGTTGTTGCTGTTGTTGCTCCGTTGTTACTGTTAACACTGCTTCTGCTTCTGCTTCAGCTTCAGCTGCTGCTGTTATTGTTGTTGCTGTTGCTGTTGCTGTTGTCAACATGCACGTAACATGGTCGTAATCTGTTTTTGTTATGAGGCTCATGAAAAGCCGCTGTAAGATGATTGTCAGTGTTGTTGTTTTGCGTTTATGCGAGAAATCAAAAGTGCTGTATAAAGTTGTTGCAACCAACCCAAAATACACATTAATGCATGCATGCAAACAAGCACACACATACACACATATGCATATACATGCATACATACATATGTATATATGTATGTATATACAGGTATGTAGATATGTAGGTATATATGTGGTGCATGCTAACAAATGCCGGTAACATTTCAATGCGGCAGCAACGGCAAACACCTCGTCAGGTGCACAGGTCGCGGGTCTGTGGAAATTTATGTTATTTGCGGCGGTGGCCGTTTGCATAATTTGCGTGTTTGTGCAAACGTGTATATGTACGTGAGAACGTTTGTGTGTTTGTGCATTCATATACATACAAACATACACACTCGCACAGTTGGCGCATTTGGGAACACCTTTGGCCGCGAGCTGTTTGTATTTCATTTTCATTTTCACAGAAATTTAAAACTATGTTTACGTGCATATAAAGTATAGTATATATCTACATACAAATGTACGTACATATATACTTATTTAAAAATGGCAGCAGAAAACAGAACAAAAATAATAACGACAACAATTTTTTTCAAGGAGGCCTCCCCTCTTCACACAAACGTTATTTTTTATTATTATATTTCGTACACTTTTTGTTTTTGTTTCTGACTGAGATTTGACGAAGCGCAACTTTAAGGAAAGAAGAAACCTAACAGTACATAAACAGAATATTAAATTGCCAAAATTTTCAATTCCATGAAAACTTTTCACAAAAGTAAAAAGAAAGCAGTAAATATTTATGTAATACAGTTGTTCGCAATATCGAAATGGTAAGTAAATGGTCAGATGTCCTTTCGAAATACGCATATGTGTACGTCTGAATACCAGAATATGTTAATACTTAATTAACTAACAATAGGTTTTTTTTTATATTTTTATAAGTATATCAGATGAAAGGGCTGAACGAATCAACTGCTTTACAGAGTTCTGTTGTGAATAACAGTTCATGTATTTGACTGCTAACATTTTAATTAATACATACCTATAAAGTAATGTTAACTAAAATGCTAAAAACTGTTAAGTCAAACAAATTTGCAATGCAAATAAATACACTGTTGCCCAATAAACGATAGTTTTTTTCAAATATCATTTTAACATTTAACATTTTAAAAATTTTGTTTGTCTTCTCTTGTATTAAAAGCATACTTAGAAATGCCCAAACACCGCTCTACAATTTAGAAAATCGCCCACAACAGCAGGTATCCCTACTTTTGGGAAATTTTCTTTCTACCAACAGGTAATCTCTGCCCTCAAAGTTATGAACAAGTTTCTTAGCCTCAGAACATAGTTTCTTCTATTTTCTTGAAACTTTAGACATTTTTCTGAAACTTTTTTTGATTGACTGATTATGGTTGATTGTTCCCAAAGGTGAA